TTCTTGATTGTTTATTGATTTTTTTTTTTTTAACACGGTAACTGAAGGAGGCTCAGGTGCTGCTGAGTGATCCTAGGAACAGAGTGTTCCTGGCTTCTTACTACAAATCATGCTAAAGGGTGGTCACACCTGGCTTGGTGGCTCAGGCTGGTGATTCTAGACAGGCAGGAGGCTGAGATTGTGATGGGGCAGGAGGGACATGTAGGGGCACTTTCATATTCTATAGTAAAAAGACGTGGGAGCTGGAGCCATGGCTCAGTGGTTGAAACACTTCGGATGACCTGGGTTTGGTTCCCCACAAGGCAGCTCGAAATCACCTTTAGCTACAGTGAGCATCATCCGTGTGTGGTGGCTCACACCTGCAATCCCATTCCCCAGAGGCTGAGGCAGGAAGACTAAATTCAAGGTTATTCTGAGCCAAAAGGGGTAAAATAGTTCCTGGCCAGCTTGGGCTACAGAGATCCTTCAAAGTCTACCTCTGAAACATAAGGGCTCTTTTAAAAAGATAATAATGGACCAGCAAGATGGCTTAGCAGGAAAAGGGGCTTGCCATGCCAGTCCAAGCCAGAGGACCTGAGTTTGATCTCAGGTGTCCATGTGAAGGTCGAAGGAGGAACCAACTTCACAAAAATTGCCCTCTGACACCTCCCACCTTGCCCCATATATGTGCTATGATGCCTGTGCCTGCGACAGAGCCCGAGGACTGTGGGTAACAGGAGAGTTAGAAATCTCAGTGCCAGAGGCTCTAGCAGCCCTCCCTGCTCAGCCTCCCTAATGACTTACTAGGACTAGATGCGTTCGGGAGACTCCTGTCTCAAAATAACTCATTATACTTCGGTGACTTTAAAACAGTCACAGCACAAAGAACTCTCCGGGACACCATGGGAATTGCTCAAATCTAAAAGTGCCTTGGAGAATTTCAGGATCTCTGTCGAATGTTGATGCTTCCTGCTCCTGCCAGCCACCCCTCACTCGGCCTCTCTGGAAGAGGCACCTCTTCCTGTACTACCTCTTATGTTCTCCTTCCTTCATAAGGTCTGCCCCCAGGCTAGTGATCTGTGATCTGCCTGTGCCTCAGTAGAACCTAAATGAAGCCAAATACACTCCCCACAGTGACACATGCCATGGGGGAGGGGAGTCAGTCAGTCAACCCATGTGTCCTTGGAGAGGGTGTGACTTTTAAGGACAGTGTGGAGGGCCCACCCGGCTCTTGAGTAAAGGAATGAGGCCAAGAACAGATGCCTAACAACTAAGGAGTTTTGCTAGAACTAAGAAGCCAATGCTGCTCTGGGAAGGAGAGGGAGGTTGGCTGGGGTGGGGGGGATGGCAGAAGTGGGGGTGGGGTGGGGTGGTGGTGAATGAGCCGGTGAGGGGGGAGCAGGTGCAGTCTTGAGCTCCACGAGTTAGACCTGAACCTTGATTTTGTTTCTGGAACTGTGAATGTGGAGATGTCGGCTACAGGTGCAAACAAGACCCCTGCAGCACACAGGTGCCAACAGTCTGACTGCTAGAACTATCCCCGCTAGAGAGAAAGGTTCAGCTGTTGCCACCTAGGTTTTCAGAAGAAAAGCCTGACCTAGGTAGGCCCAGCAGGCTGGTCCCACTAAGTGTCCACCATATACAAATGAAAGAGACCAGTAAAGCTGAAGAATAAGGATGGAAATTGAAGTCAGGGGTGGTAGAGTTTAACTCCAGTTCCTAGAAAGGTGGAGGCAGAAGAATCCAGATTTCAAGGCCATCCTTCTGCTACAAGGCTCAATAAATTAACTCAACTACTCGGGTCTGAGCATATAACTGAGTTGGCAGAGTGCTAGCTCATCACCTGGGGAGCCCTGGGCTACTGGTGTGAGCTCCAGGTTTAAGTACCGGCAAAATTAGGGTGGGGCACAGGCATTCTAATTAATTGGTCCTGGCTGAACTGCGTCTGGTTGGTTGACCTCAGCCTTGGTTGCGTGATACGGTCACAGGCCCTCTTCACTGTCACTCTTGAAGGGATCAAATCTGGCTCTTGGAAGATGATCACTCAAGCTTCAGGGTGCAGCCTCACCATCACGGAAGGGATGGTCCTCATGTGGTATGTGTGTGTGGGGGGGGGGGGCTTCTGTCTTGGGTTTGTTCTTCCTGGGATCCAAGGTGATCTTTGCACATTTAGGGCAAAGATTTATATTTATGCCTTGAGCCCAAAAAAAAAAAAAAAAAAAAAAAATGGGACAGACAGATAGAAAAGGAAGATAGAGAAGGCAGCCTCCTTTTCTTCATTTATATACCTATGCCCTCAAGGGAGGACTCAGGGCCCTCCACAAAAGCAGCTCCCAATTGCTGGTTTTACTATTAACACTTAACATTTGTTTGTTTTGAGAGAGGGTCTCACTACGTAGCTCTAGATGGCCTGGAGCCTTGAACTCACAGAGATCCTCCTGTCTCTGCCTCCCGAGGCCTGGGATCAAAGTTGTGGGCCACGATGCCTGACTTTAGCATTTACATCCTACCCCCCTCCCCAAGACAGGGTTTCTCTGTGTAGCCCTGGACATTCCGGAACTCCGCGATCTGCCTTCTGCTGGGATTAAAGGCATGCAGCACGTTTATTTCTTAGAGGGGAGTAGGGATGCACCTCAATTGGTAAAATGCTTGCTTAGCATCATGTCCCTATAGAAGAAGCCACGGTTTGACTCCCGCCATTGCATAAACCTGCCTGTAATCCTAGTGGGGTTCGAAGAATACAACTTCTAGGTTAGACAAGAACTCCTAGAAGAAAACTAACCAACTTCTTTAATCCCTGCCTCCCACGCCTCCCACGCCCAGGAAACACTGCTTTTGTCTGGGTGCAGTTTTCCCTGCCTGCCTCTTCGGCATAAATGTGTGTGGAAAGCCCAGGACATAGCTTCTGCTGCTGAGAGGGACTGCCCAGAGCCAATTGCTCAAAGCAAGCGGGGAGCTGAGGTGAAGTGGGAGGTGGAGGCCGGGTTGAAATAAGACCTGGGATTTTCTGAGGTTCCTCTGTGTCAAGGGGAAGCTCTGCCTCTCCAGGGAACCTGAACTGATTGGGCTATTAAATCTTATGCTGTCTGTTGTGGCTTTTGGAGTCATGATACTTAAAAGACATCCTCACGGAGTCAGAAAGGACTAATGACTGCGTCTGGTAGACCTGGGGGTGCTGTGAAGTAAGTCCAGACCCCTCTTCCCAGATGTTACAGAGAGGCATGATTTCTGTTCAAAGCTGGGAAGAGAGACGGGCTGGGGGTTCGATCAGAGTCCTAGTAATGGTGCTTATTGATACGGTGCTAATGTCCGCAGAGCCTGAACATTCTCGATTCTTCGTTTCTCTGAGTGTAATTGTTCTGGTCACCTACAAAGGGCAGACTAAAGCCTGTAGAAGCTAGCTAGTGGCTTGTCCTAGGTCACACAACCCATAGAATGCAAAAACCTAATTCACCGAGTCAAATTCAACAAATAGGTGTTCAGCCATTTAGTTTTGAGACTGTCTTTTGCTGTATAGCCAGCCTAGTTGTGTTCAAGCTTATGATCCCCCTGCATCAGCCTCCCAAGCACTGGCTTGTGTGACCATGCTGACCATGCTAGGCTAAAAAATGTCGAACTGGTGCCTACCAGAAGTCAGGCCTTGAACTGACTGCTTGTGAATTTGACTATGAGACAGGATCTATTGCTGTTTGGATAGTTAGTGAAGAAACAGATCTGAACTCAAAGAGGGTTATTTTTCACAAAATGGGTGTCTGATTATCTTAGGGTTTCTGTCGCTATAATAAACCATGGTCAAAAGCGACTTGGGGAGGAAAGGGTTTATTTGACTTATGCTTCCATATCACAGTTCATCATCGAAGGAAGTCAGGACAGGAACTCACATGGGGCAGGAACCTGGAGGCAGGAGCCGATGCAGGGGCCATGGAGGAATGCTGCTTACTTGACCTCATGGCTTGCTCAACCTGCTTTCTGATAGAATCCAGGACCCACCTGCCCAGGGCTGGTACCACCCATCATGGTCTGGGCCCTCCCCCATCCATCACTAATTAAGAAAATGCCTTACAGCTGGATCTTATGGAGGCATTTTCTCAATTGAGGCCCCCTCCTTTCGAAGACTCTAGCGTGTGTTACATTGACATAAAACTAGCCAGCGCACTGATGATTCCACCTTAGGGATAAAAGGGGAACCCGGATGAATGACATCTGAACTGGGGGAGGACAGAAAGGAGCTGGGGAGCCAGGTCCAGCTGGATTTCAGCCTTGGGGCTGAAGCAGCATGCCCACATTCTGCTGTTACTACTTCTGTTTGGTTAGGAAGGCCTCCCCTGACTCTTCGGGAAGATGTAAGGTAATAGAGCAAGCTGACTGGGGGCCATCTGCCTGTAATCCCAGCATCCAGACCAGCCTGGGCTACGCAGGGAGTTGCAGGAGATTGGGACAACACAGAGGAATTCGTCTCAAACAATGAATTTCTTAGGTGCTGGAATGGGGGGGGGGGCAGAGCTTTGTACCTGCTAGGCCAAGGCTCCACCACTGGCCTACATCCCCAGCATCCTGTTCTCCATGCTTGGGAGGATTGCACACTTATGGAATCAGAGAACAACTTCTAAGAGTCATTTTTTTTTCCCCCATCATGTGGATCCTAGGGGTTGAACTCAAGTCATTAGGCTCCGAAGCAAGCACCTTATCCACTTGAAGGTATTCTCTTCTCATGGGCTTCATAAACATCTTTTGTGGTTTGGTATTGGGGACAAGGTCTCCTCTGTTGGCCTGACTGGTCAGGGACACTATGTGAACACAAGGTTGAACTTGCTTCCATTCTTCCGCCTTTGCCTCGCAAGTCCTGATATTACATTCGGACACCACCGCTTTTTGCTGGGGTGGGGGGAGTGACAAGGTCTCAAGCAGTCCAGGTTAGCCTCAAGTTCCATAAACAGCCAAGGTTACCTGTGCAATTTTTTTTCCCTCTATGAAGCTACATCCTCCAAGTAGTGATATTTTAATAGTAAACACTGAGGCTGGGCATGGTGACATATACCCTTTTTTTCATTTTATTTATTTATTTTTTGATGATTTTTTTGTGTGCATTGGTATTTTGCTTGCATGTATGTCTATGTGAAGGGTGTTGGATCCCCCGGAACTGGAGTTACAGGTAACTGTGAGCTGCCATGTGGGTGCTGGGAAACCGAAGCTAGGTCCTCAGGAAGAGCAGCCAATGCTCTTAACCTCTAAGCCATCTCTCCAGCCCAGGTGACATGCATTTTAATATCAGCACTGTAGAGGCAGAGGCCAACCTGGTCTACACTGTAAGCTTCAGGCAAGGAAGCAGGGGTTAGTGAGAACCCGTCTAAAAGAAAAACACAGAGTGAACACTGAAAATTTGTGTAGGCTAGATTGTTCTGTTTAATTACATGTATTTGTTCATGCACGTGTATGTGTGCCCTGGTACACATGTGGTGTGTTGGTCCCAGGACAAAATGTGGGTCCCTAGGATCAAACTCAGGTCATCAGGCTTGCCAGCAAGCTCCTTTTCCTCCTGAGCAGTTAGTGTTTTGAGGTAGGCTGGCCCCAAATTCAGCTATGTATCAGAAGAGGACCTTGAGCAGGATGGCCTTTGTCTCCATCTCTACCTAAGATTAAAGGTACATCTCATCACACCCTGCAGGGCTTTATTTTTATTGAATTTGTGTGTGTTCTAAGGTTATCTGTCTTCTGGGTTTTTATTTCATAAGGTCTTCTGTGGTACATTCACTTATAAAGAAACAAATGTAAAAAATGAAAATCAAACTTGGTATGATTTTTTTTTCATTTAGAAAGAGTAGAGAAAGGTGAAAGGTTATAGCAAGACTGTCCTCATTTGCCTGATTCCAAAAGTTTGGTTGGTGGCTGGGATGTAACTGCATTCTGGATGTAACTCCTGCTTCCCCCAAGCTGGATTTCATCTCTGGCAACATTAAAACAAAAGCCCCCACCCGATGCTACTTGGCTGTAACCCCAGCATTTAGGAGCTGGAAACAAAGAGCATTGTTTCCAGTTCAAGGCCAGCCTAGGCTGTATGTGTGTGTGGGGGGGTGTCCCAGGCCATCCCATCCCTTGCCACAGGATGAGACTGTGTCAAAAGGTCCAAACTGAATACACACCTTTCAGCCCAGCACTCAGAGGCAGAAGTGGGGACTCTCTGTGAATTCGAGGCCAGTCTGATCTACAGAGTGAGTTCCAGGACAGCCTGAGCTGCACAGTGAGACCTTGCTCAAGAAAACAAAACAAAACAAATCAAAACAATAACAACAAAACCAAACAACAAAAAAATGGGCTAGGGATATAGCTCAGTTTGTAAAGTGTTTGCCTAGCCTCCTTGAGGCCCCGAGTTCGATCCCCATCAGGACTCCTGTGACTCCAGTTCTCTAATTTCAGCACTTGGGAGGTGGAAGCCAGAGGATCTCTGGTTACAGGGAGGGACATTTAATCAAGGCTGCCTCACGCATTGTTTATTGTCAGTCTAGCCCAGGCTCTGTCAGCCCTGCTGGAGGGACTGGTAAACAGATGGGCTGTGGTGTCAAGTGGTCAGAGGGACTAGAGCTCAGTGTTCCAGGCTTGGGAATGACAGACTGGGATGTGTGATGCCACTCTAAGTTTAACGGGAGTCAGGTACTGAGTGGGACCTAGGACCATCTGAAGTAACTTCTTATTATTTTTTTTTTAAAGAAATTTCTTTTTACTCAAACCATCTGTGAGTTGCCAGAATCCAGAAGAGTAGCTGTCCACTTGAGCTGTGGGCCCATGCAAAGGACCTCGTTGGCAGCTGCAACTCAGAGTCTAAAAACACGAAGAACTCAAGGCTTCTACCACTGTAGGCAGCCCAGGAGACATCAGTGGGGCCACAGCTCATTCCAGGAGGGACTGTGAAAACGGCAGGACAAGTGAGTCCACTTGTCCCTGCAGAGTACCCCAGAGCCAACTTTCAGAAGACAGCCCACCCAGGTCCAGACCTTTCTCTCCAGCCTGATGTCACGGGCATTTAACGTGGCCAGACTCCAGGGAGAGAGCAAGTGCCACATCTGTCTGGATGCTCTGACCGAACCAGACACCACAGAATGTGGACATAACTTCTGTCACTCTTGTGCCTATAACTTCTGTGGGGACCGGGAAGTCGTGCCCTGTCCCGTCTGTAGAAATGATTGCCAAAAGCAGAACATCACAAGCAATGCCCAGCTTGGGGAGATGGTTAAAATGGTCCAGCAGTTCCAAAACAGGGCAAGCCAGAGTGAGGAGATCAGAACCATCTGTGAGAGGCACAACCGGGTCTTGACCCTCTTCTGTGAAGATGACCTGCAGCTGCTGTGTGACCGGTGCGTCGGGCCACAGAGCCACAACAGCCACCACGTAACATCCATTGCACGGGCTGCCTCTTATCACAGAGAAAGGCTTTGGGGCCTAAGCAAGCTTCTTAAGAGGGAAATGAGACGGGCTGAAGAGTTAAGACACATTCAAGACGACGGGACCCAGGCCTTGAGGGAGCAGGCAGAAGCCCAGAGGTGTAAACTGAACTCTGAATTTGAGCGGCTCAACCGGTATTTAGATCGGGAACAGCATGCGGCTTTCTCCAGGCTAAAGGAGGAGGAGAAGGATATCGGGCAGAAACTGAGCAAAAATATAGAGGCATTTGAAAAACGGATTTCTACACTCAAAAGTCTCCTGAACCTTGCTGTGGCAGGCAAAACGTCCTCAGAAGTAGATCTGCTGTCGACAGTCAAGAATTTCTACGAGGATTACGAGAGTGTGAGTAACCCAGACATCTTTTCACCTCAGTTAAGAAGAGAAGGATACAACTTTCCTCTCCAGTATTCAGCGCTACAAAAAATTATACAGCAATTTACAGTTCAAGTAACTCTAGACCCGGACACAGCCCATCGAAACCTGCTTGTTTCTGAGGATAAAAAATGTGTTACATTTTCAAAGAAAAAACAACATGTTCCTGGTTCTTTAAAAAGGTTTATCAAGAGCCATGTTGTGTTGGGGTTTCCGTATTTTAGTTCTGGGAGACATTTCTGGGCGGTAAAGGTAGGAGAGAAGTCCGAGTGGGCTGTTGGAATCTGCAAAGCCAATCTTTCCATTGGGGCAAGGCAGTCCTTGATCCCTCCCGGGTGCTGGAGGATTGTCTGGAAGGGTGACTGCTTTGAGGTCTCAGGAGGAGCAGACCCAAAGTGTTCTCAGCTGAAAGCCACAGGGCCCAGAGTCATTGGCATTTTCCTGGACTATGAGCTGGGAGAGGTCTCCTTTTATAGGATGCCTGAGAAATCTCACATCTGTACTATCAGGGACACTTTTACTGAGCCTGTTTGTCCTTATTTCTATGTAGGAAATAATTCAGAACCTCTTAGACTCTGCTCTGCCACAGATGCTGAGTGAAAACTCACAGCGTAGCCTTAACTAGAACAGGTTTGCTCATGGGCAATACTCCCTTGCCCCCAACCCAGGTTGGCCCCAAGGTTGTTATACAGCTGAGAAGAACTTTGAATTTGTGCTCCTCTAAACTACTTCTTGCTAGGATTATAGGTGTGAGCTTCTCAGCCCTACATTCTTCTTCTTCCTCTCCTTCTTCTCCTTCTCCTCCTCCTCCTCCTCCTCCTCCTCCTCCTCCTCCTTCTTCTTCTTCTTCTTCTTCTTCTTCTTCTTCTTCTTCTATTTTTTATTTTATTTTATTTTTGAGGCAAGTTTTTGCTAGCCCCGACTGGCCTGGAACTCTGGAACTGGATATGCTGACCAGTCTGGCTACTGTACACAACCCTATCTCAGCTTCCTGTACTCTGGGTTTACAGGCATGGATCAACATGTCAGGCAACAGATGCATTTTTAAACTTCTAAGTCTTAATCTGACGAAAGTTTTGCTATTAAACCCTATGCCTAGCAAAGGATACACTATCGAGCTATATACTTCAACCTTTCCATCTGTGAGAGAGTCTTGGTGAGTCAACCGGGCTGGACGCAACTAACTCTGCAGCCCATCCTGGCCCAGCACTCCCAAGGGGCTGGCGTTACAGCCTTGCATCACCAGCCCAACCCACCTCAGAAAGAGATAGGAGTTTTAAGAATTTATTTTATATCTGAGAAGGTCTTATGTAGTCTAGGCTAGTCTCAAACTTGATACATAGTAGAGGCTCACCTTGGCTGACGTTGGATTCCTGACCGTCCAACCTCTGTCCCACAGATACCCAGCCTTTGAAATTTGTATTTGAAGATAGCCTAGTTTCCTTATAATCTCAGAAACATTTTAAATATTAATAAGGAATTAGATTAACAGTAGCAGAGTTCTAAAGTTGAAAAATGTTCCCGGGTTTTCATTTTAGTCATCAAATCTCGGTGTTACCCTCTCTTTCCCCATTTCCTTCTCCCCTTCCTCTTCCTCCCTCCCTCCCTCCCTCCCTCCCTCCCTTCCTTCCTTCTTTCCTTCCTTCCTTCCTTCCAGGTCCAGTACTAGGGATTGGGTTCAGGGCCTGGAGCATGCTATGAAAGTGCCCCACACTGAACTAACATCATCAACCATGTCTGATTTTGATGTGGTCTTGTTAAGCTGTCCAGGCTAATCCTGAATTTGTTATTCTCACACTTCGCCCCCGCCCGCACTTCTCCAGTAGCTGGGATTGCAGGCAAATGCCTTTATGTCTCGATAAATTTTGTGGGGTTTTTAAAGCAATTTTTAAAAATTATTGTGCGTGTGAGAGAGAGAGTGAGCGGCAGACAGCGACAGATTGAGGGTGCGGAGGTCAGGAGACACTTCTCTTCTTCATCATATGTCCCAGGATTGCATTTAGTGTTTAGGTAACAGTTGCATGACCAGCCCTTTTGCCCGGGGAGCCATCTCAGGCCCTCAAATTGGTTCTTGACAGAGAAGTGAACAAGGGAGAGAAAGGGACTACTAAATGACACCAAGTTACAGTTAGAGCAAACACAAAGTACCTTGTCCGTTTGCAAAGTGGGGTGATTATAGACAGTGATAATGTACTTTCAATTTCAAAAAGCCGCAGGAAAGCATTTGAGAAGTTGTCACCAGAAAGGGAGACAAATGTTTGAAAAGGTAATTGTCACCTGATAGTTAAACACTACAAATGTACACATGTTGAAACGTGACAAGGTTCCTTTTAATGTACCGTTTTTATCCATTAAATTTAATTTTAATAAAAGAAAAATGATTCTATATGTAAAGGTTGTTCCTCATGGTCTGGAGTTATCACTATTGTCTTCTCATAGTTTTTTACTTAATCCTTTTTTTTTTAAAGATTTATTTTATGTATGAGTGCTATATCTTCATGTACGCCTTTATGCCTGAAGAGGGCATCAGATCCCACTATAGATGGTTGTGAGCCACCATGAAGTTGCTGGGAATTGAACTCAGGACCTCTGGAACAGCAGCTGGTACTCTTAACTGAGAACTATCTCTTCAGCTCCCTTCACTTAATTCTTAAATGTCCAGGCTTGGTGGCTTGTGGCCGTATTTCTGCACTTAGAAGCAGGAGAATCTGGTTTTTTGCTTTTGGGGGGTAGGGGTGGTGGTGACTTTTTGCACTTCCTCCCTCCACCTCCCAAGTGCTGGAATTATAGGCATGTGCTACCATCCCCAGTTGTATGCACTGTGGAGAACGGAACCCAGGGCTTCACGCATAACAGGTTAGCAGTCTACCAACTGAGCTGTTTCTCAGGTCCAGAAGGGACCTTTCATCAAAATTACATTTATTGTGTGGGTTTATGGGTGGGCACCTGTACCATGACAGCCAAGTGGAAGACACAGGACAACGTGCTGGAGTCGGTTCTCTCCCTAAACCTTGTGGGTTCCAGGAAATAGGATGCCCTCTTCTGGCCTCGGGGATTAGGCGTGTACAGGTGCACACGCATACATATATGCAGGCAAAACACTCAGATGCATAAAATTAATTTTTAAAATGTATACTTTTCCTCATTCATTAAAGGACCCCAGGGCCTCCCCAATGATGTCATCAGTAGCAACACTCTGTACCCTGGTGTTCTAGTCTGGATCTGCCCTCTGCCCCAATGGCCCAAGCACTGGTGCTGTGAGATGGGCAGAGGTGAATCAGTCACATTTTCAGTTAGCATACAATAGCGTCTTTTGTTGTTCCAGGCTGTCCTCTGATTCACTGTCTAGCTGAGGGTGATCCCAACTGTTGATTCTCCACACGCTGACATGACAGGCCTGGACCACAAGGCTGGGCTAGAAGAGTATTTAGTTACAACTTTTTGTTTTTGAGACGGGGTCTCCCTCTAGCAAAGGCTAGCCCCAGATCTGAAGCAATCCTGTTCCAGCTTCCTGGGTATTGTGGTTACTGAGATGAGCCACCATGCCCAGCTGCTCCCTGTGAATTTCTCTTGTTATAAAATATTTCTCTGATTTAGCTGTATGTGTGTGTGCATGTCTGCATTTAGGAATCTGCGTGTGCCAGGCCAGAAGAGTGTAAGATCCCCTGGAGTTGGAGGTAGGCAGGTAGTTGTGAGCCACTTGCCATGGGTGCTGGGGACTGCTACAGCCCTGAGGGTGAGCACGTGCCAGCATTCGGAGGAGGCTGTGGTTTTGACTGACGACTGATTTTGGGTGCTGGGATAGAATCCAGCTTCGAGGTTGACTACTCTAGGCAAACACTATGCCCTTGAGCCGCAGACCCAACACCGAGGCTGCAGGTGACTGTTATTGAGATGGGGTGTCGTGCAGCCCCAGCCGCCCTTGAACTCCATGTGTAACCAAGACAGCCCCAGACTTGATCTTCCTGCCTTGGCTGCCCAAGTGCTAGGATGACAGGCACGAACGAGCCACTGCTCCAGGATGTGCGACTTCCTCATTCAGCGACACAAGGGAGATGAATATGTGAGAGTTGATCACTCTAGGCCAAGGGAACAGCAGGTGCAAAGGTCCAGAGGTGGTCACGTGCTTGGCAGTCCAAACCACCGAAGCAGGAATAAAGCAGTGCCAGCAGAGAACTAGGGAAAACGGTGGAGTGGGGAGAGGAGTTGATTTCCGAAGGACCTTCACTGTCAGCCCTTCGATTTTGAGAAGGAAGTATGTGCACAGTCACATGGCCTAATTTGTGGTTTAGATCTCTGGGGCTAGACAGATGGCTCGGTGGTTAAAGGGTACTGGCTGCTCTTCTAGAGGATCCAGGTTTGATGCCTTGTTACCCCATGGTGACCCACCCCTCAGTAACGTCAGTTCCAGTGTGTTGAATGCCCTCTTCCGGCCTTCTCAGGCAGCAGATATGCACATGGTCCATGGACATACATGCAGGCAAAACACCCATACACATAACATAAAACAATAATGTACAAGGAAGAAAGATCTCTGACTGCTGAGTTAAAATATAAATGTTTGGAGAAGAAGGGAGTTGAGGTGATCAGAATCAGATGCCCTGGGGCCAGAGTTATGGCTCAGTGGTTACCATGCTGGATGCTCCTCCAAAGGACCTGGGTTTCATTCCCAGCACTCACATGATGGCTCCCAACCACCTGTAACCCCAGTTCTAGGTGATCTGATACTCTCTTCTAGTATCCATGGGCACCAGGCACACACACTTCACAGGCATATAAGCAGGCAAAACATTTATACACAGTAAAATTAAAAACCTATTTAAAAGAAAAAGAATAAGATTTAATAAAAAAATATATTTTAAGGAATTCTATTCTGTGTAGGTACACTAAACAATAATTTTATTAAAGTCATTAAATTAAAAATAAGCATGTTAAAGATTTACAAAAAAAAAAAAAAAAAAGGAAAAGCACAAAGGAGCTGGAGATAAAGCTCAGTTGGTAGCATGCACGAAGGACGGAGCTCAATTCCTGTTCCATAAAGGGGACAGAGATGGGGATGCCTGCAATCCCAGCACTTGAGAGATGCAGGGAGAAGGATCACAAGTTCAAGGTCATTCTTGAGTACACAGGGAGTTCGAGGCCAGCCTGGGCTACCTGAGACCTTGCCTTAAGAAACAAGAACAACAACAATCCCAAGAATATCCCAGGAGAAGGATGAGCAAAGGATTTGGGATGCATGTCGCAAGAGAGTAATGAAAGGTCACAGATCTGGGATTGACACCAATTTCATTCATAGAAGAAACGGCAAGCTGGGTCTGGGAACTGAACTCCATCTTCCGCAGGCTCCGTCTGCGCACCTAACCACTGCGCCATCTTTCCAGCCCCTGCCAACTCTTAAGTACATTCTGGTTTCAATATGTGAATGTTAATTACTGTTTGGGGACTCCACCATATTACTGGCAGAAGGCATGTATATGTTTATCTTGGAGGAGGAAAACTTTTAGAGTGCCCCTGCAGTGGCTGTATCTAAAGGAAACGGGAATTTACTGTCCACAAGCAAGAGTTTGTAGGATCGAATGAACAGTCCTTGCCTGTCAGGTTGCATCCATCATATCCCGATATAATTATGTTATAATTCTGCAGGGCTACAGACTGCAACCTGCAGAACAGAGATCACACTCATAAGCCCTCAGGGAAAAGTCGTTCTAATTTTAGGCAGAGACACCTGACACTCATGATCTCACCAACTGGGAGATGGAAGCAAGAGATTCCAAGGCCAGCCCTAGCGACATGAGGTCCTATCTCAAAAACCAAAAACAAAGGCACCAATTGATCAAAAGGAGCTCTAGGAGAAGCATTGCCACATGAAAACACTTCATTTTCACTGCAGGAATTAATCTGTTTAATAATACCTAGAGAGAAATCGACTTGACATTTGAATCCCATGACAATTCTGAACTATAATCCAAGACCAACAAGAATCTTTTTCCTATTTGGACAATGAAAACCTGTAGTATTGTGTGTATTTGTGTGGTGTGCATGTGACGCGTGTCGGTGCACACACAAGAGCGTCTTGTTGAGAGTTTAAAGGCCAGAGCACAACTTTCAGGAGTTGGCTTCTCCTCCACCAATGGTTCCTGGTGACTCAGGTCACCAGGCTTGTATAACTAGTACTTTTCCTACTGAGCCATTTCACCAGCACCATTTGGTCAACTTTTAACCCACAGACGGTCTTATGCCTATACTTTAACACATTTTTATTTTTTGTGGTTTTTTTTTTTTTTTTTTTTTTTTTTTTTTTGCGGGGGACGGGATCTCTCTGTAGCCCCGGCTGGCCTGAAACTCATTCTGTGGACCTGGTCAGTCTTGACCTTCCTATGTCTGCCTCGCAAGGAGTAGGATGACAGGTCTGAGCCACCACACTCAGCTCATTAAACGCACTGGTGAAATCACAGTGTAGTAGAGAGATACACGGCAACTCCTTGAAGAAGGGCAAACTGAAGTGAAAGTAGCAGATTATTCCCCGAGTCTCTCAACTCTGGCCCATGGAAGGTCTCACCGTGTTACAGGCGTCACCACGTCACCACTTGGGCTCCCATTGCCCCAGGAGTTCTTGGCATTCTATTTCTCGACAACACACTGCAGGACTGGCACAGCCTATGTCCTGTGAGATCGGTCCTATATGAGGAAACTGTTTTGTGCTTTTGGAGCAAGGTCTCATTCTAAGGACTGGGCAATGGGCTGACCTCAAGCTAGTAGTGATGCCCCTGCCTCAGCTCTTCAGGTGCTGGGATTACAGGTGTGAGTCACCACAACTGGCTGAAGGAAATTCTTTGTAAAAGCTGACTCAGTGACAGAGTGTTTGCTTACTATGTGTGAGGCATCTGGGTTTGATCCCCAGCACCCGAAAACAAGCAAGCAAACAAAAACCAAGTTAGTTGACTTTTCTCTCGTCCACACACATATAAAATGCATGGGAGCCTCTTCGGAAGCAAACATCAACCACAGGAAATAATGCCTTCTCTCAGCAGCTTAACTGTGGCAAGACCTCACTGGTTTTTAAACCACGTTTACAGCAGATTGTCATGTCACACTTGCTTTCCAAACAGCCAAATTATTCCAGGGTTCTTAAACTATAGCTTGGATTCCAGAAAAGTCAAGAAGTTAAATTACTTCAAACTATGCGAAACATTCTCAAGTTTTCCAGACTGCTTTAACCACCCAGGGGCTCACGTTCCCAGCACACACTGCGACTTCGGCAAAGGCTGCAGGTCCTAACTGTGGCAGCCGGGCGGTCTGAAGTGACTGTGGACTCCACAGCTGTCACGCCCAGGAGCCTCTCATGTTCTAGCTGGCTGAGAGGCCAGTTCCAGCAACCGCTTACTCAGGAGGGCATTGTGTCGTTTCAGATATGCTATTATGTCTCCTTGCTTTTCAACAATTTCTTCTAGGTTTGACATAGTCCTGCAGAAGTCAAGATATAAACAGGTTACACAAATTCACCAATGTTCTTTGATATCATTTCAAATGAGTCCTCAGTGGTATTCAGTAAGGTAAATTGTGCCCAGTATTTTCCCTTGGGTTTTATACACCAGGGATATTCCAAAATCAGTCTTTCATGAATGAACTTAGTGATTTCCGCTCTGGAAATCAATCTGTTTTGCACATATTGCCTTTACTTTTACTTATTTTAGGCTTTTTTTTTTTTGCCCAGAAAAGTTGCTAATATTTTTTACAATTTAAACTGGGTGGTGGTGGCACATGCTTTTAATCACAGCACTCGGGAGGCAGAGGCAGGTGGATATCTGTGAGTTTGAAGTCAAAATGGTCTACAGATTGAGTTCCAGGACAGCCAGGGCTACACAGAGAAACACTGTCCTGAAAAAAAAAAAAAAAAAAGATTTTACAATTTAAAGTCAACACGTGAGCCAGGTGATGGTGGCCCAGTCTTTAATCCCAGTATTCTGAAGCAGTTGGATCTCTGAGATCCAGGACAGCCAGGGTTACACAGAGAAATACTGTCTTGAAAAACCAAAAATAAATAAGGAAAGAAAAATAAAATTAATTTTAAAAACATGTAAAGTCAATGTGTGGTGCACGCCCTTCATCCCAGCACTCAGGAAGCAGAGCCAGGCAGATCCCTGTGAGTTCAAGGCCAGCCTGGTCTACCTAGCAGCTTCCAGGACAGCCAGGGATAAATAGCTAGAGTCTGTCTCAACACCCCACAACCCCCAAAAGCAGTATCCTCCTAATTTGATAGGGGTGACTATGATGGCTTGTGGTGGTATTGTATTCCTCAGCTTCCAGTCTGAGGAAACAGGATCAGCTGAGGAACTGGCATTGAGGTAGCTGTGGCTTGTTCTGCTTCTCTGATCTTTCAAAATATTGTGCACCCTAATAAACTTACCTGGGGTCAGAGAACAGAATAGCCACTAGATACAGAGGCCAGAAAATGGTGGCACACACGCCTTTAATCCTAGCATTTCAGAGGCACAGATCCGTCTGGATCTCTGTGAGTTCAAAGCCACACTGGAAACAGCCAGGCATGGTGACTCACGCCTTTAATCCCAGGAAGTGATGGCAGGAGGCAGAAAGGTACAGAAGGCATGAGGACCAGGAAATAGAGCTGGTTAAGCTTTCAGGCGTTTAGCAGCAGTTCAGCTGAGATACATTTGGATGAGGACACAGAAGCTTCCAGTCTGAGGAAACAGGATCAGCTGAGGAATTGGCAAGGTGAGGTAGCTGTGGCTTGTTCTGCTTCTCTGCTCTTTCAGCGTTCACCCCAATAACTGGCCTTGGGTTTGTTTTTATTAAGACCTTCTAAGATTCGTGCTACAATGGCTAATCTTGGTTGTCAACTTGACTGCATCTGGGATTAACTGAAACTCAATCCCTGGGAGCTCCTGGGAGGGATTCTTCTTGGATCTGGGCCACACCTCCTGGTGGCTGCGCACACAAAGGACGTGGAGGAGGAAGCTCTGCTTTCTGCTTGTGCCCTCACTCTCACTGGCAGGTCCACCTGTCCCGCTCTGGAGCCCCTCCTTCCTGGTGTTGGAACTGACTTCCCCAGGGTCCCAGTGTGGACTGAAAACTGGCAGCTCTCCAGCACTCCTCTGGGACTCCAGCACCAGATTAGGACTGCTGAGACAGCCAGTCCCGTAGGCTGAACAACTACCAGATCCTTGACCTTTGTGTCCAGAGACAGCCATTACTGACCTACATAGACCACAGCCTGTAAGGCACTCTAATAAAAAATACATACATATACACATACATACATACATACATACACACAGATACATACATACATACACACAGATATACATACACACATACACATATATACACATGCTGTGGAATAATCCCTTTGTACACTGTGAAGATTTGTTTCTCCGATTGGTTTAAAAAAAAGCTGACTGACCGGTAACCAGGCAGGAATTACAGGCAGGACAACCAAACTAGGAGAATGATGGGAAGAAGAAAGGTGGAGTCAGAGGAGACGCCAGCTGCCCAGGAAGCAGGATGTGTAGAAAATGAGGAAACACACCATGAGCCATGTGGCAGAGCATAGATAAGAAATAGGGGTTAATTTAAGTGTAAGGGTTAGCTGGTAACAAGCCTGAGCTATCGGCCAACCATTTACAACTAATATTTAGTCTCCAAGTCAGTTATTTGGGAAAGAGCTGACAGTTATTTGGGAGTAGGCAGTCGGTACAGGAAACCTCCACCTACACACACACACACACACACACACACAAACACACTACATACATAAATACAGGGTTTCTCTCTTAAGTAACTCTGGGTATTGTGGAACTCACACCCTGAACTACATAAAACACAGCAAGAGGCAGGTGGATCTCTGTGAGTTGGAGGCTAGCCTGGTCTACATAGTGAGTTCCAGCACTAAGGAAGTCAAGGGAAGAGTCAACAGTCTGAGTCTACCCTGGGCTACAGAGCAACACAGCAAGCAGGAGTCTAGTGTCTACCCTGGGCTACAGAGCAACACAGCAAGCAAGAGACTAGCCTCAAACCCATAGCGAGACCCGACCCCAAACCCCAGACAAACAAATAAACATCAGGGCTTAGCTCCTACTTTGCCCAACTCCATATTCACATCACATGTGTCTATCCTCTCAATCCAGTGAATGACATGACAATTTTATGTTAAGTCTGTATTCAGAATCAAATTAGTTTTCACAGCTAAGCTAAGCTAAGGTAAGGTCTACTATTTATTATATTTCATATACAAACTTCTATTTTCCCGGGAGTAATACTTGCTCATTTTAAAATTTATAAGGATTTTGTTCTTGAATGAATATTATTTATAACAGAAACAATTATAAACAATCTGATTATTCAGTAATGAAGAAGGCTCTTTAAAAACACGATAGATCTAGAGTTGTGGAGCATGCCTCTGATCCTAATGGGTAGAGGAAGGTGGCTCTCTGTGAATTCAAGGCCAGCCAGGACTACATAGTGAGATCTGTTTCCAAACAAACCAAAAAGTGCTATGACTGGATACATTACAGTACAGAGGAAAGTTATATGGGAAGAAAATGCTTATTTTTCTGAGAAAAAATTCTGTCTGCTGGCCTCCAACTTGGGGTCCTCCCATCTCAGTCTCCTAGGTCTGTGTGTGTGTGTGTGTGTGTGTGTGTGAGAGAGAGAGAGAGAGAGAGACAGAGACAGAGACAGAGACAGAGACAGACAGACAGACAGACAGAGACTAGGGATGAACCCTGAGACTCATACACAGAGCCTCTGACTACATTCTTAGCCTTTATAAAAACTGACTAAAAATTACTTTGGGTCAAGACTTTGCTAAATTGCTCTGGCTAGGGATCCACCCTGCTTCCTTGGAGGCATCCCCAGTAGACAGAATCAGAGGCACGCACCATCAGGTAACTGAAGGGAAAAAGTTAATTCTTTCTGACTTTTCACTGCCTGTTCAAGCCTTACCTGAAGCCGGTCTCGGATACCGTATTGCTGGGGTAAGCAGAGATTTTTTCTTCTTCAAGTACATCAGGCTGTGGTTTGGCTCTATTGAACCTCCTAACTTTCACTGAAATAATAAAATAGTTTTTAATTAGATTACCTGTTTCTGAAGAAATTCCTATGTTCATTTATTCAAGTGATACTAATTGGTTACTCTTTTTGCATAGATAATATATATGAGATTTCATAATGAGTAAACAGTTTGAATATAATTGTTTATCAACAAACTTACACATTTCAATCTACTAAGCAAGGACTAGTAACAGGGAATGTCGAGATTATCATCAGTAACAACAATAACAATAATAGCAATAACATTTACAACACATGAGCACAGCTTGAGTGTCCTAGAGGATGACCTCATTCCAGTCTCAAGACCACATCATGAAGTGAGCACTCATTTTTTTTCCTTGAGACAGAGTCTCACTGTGTAGACAAGGCTGGCCTGAAACTCAGAAGAGACCCATGTGGGTCTGCCTTACAAATATTGGGATTGTGTGTGTGCTTGGCCTGGCCTTTGTTTTTAATTTAGATGCCAAATTTACATGCAGGGCCTAGCTTGCTGACTTGGTTATAATCCCAGAGCTTGGAAGGCAAAGGCAGGGGGTTGGCTATAAATCCAGGGTCATTCTGGGTGCGTTGCAGCAGTTCTCAAACTGTGAGTCACGACTCCCCTGGAGGTTGAATGACCCTTTCACAGAGTCACATATTAGATATCCTGCATATCAGATATTTACATTACAATTCATAACAGTATCAAAATTACAGCTATGAAGTACCAAGGAAAATAAGTTTATGAATGTGGTCACCACAATGTGAGGAATTGTATTAAAGGGTCACAGCACTGGGAAAGTTGAGAACCACTACCTTATAGGAAACATGTTTGTTGATTTGTTTCCTATAAAAGCTTTACTTTAGTTAGCTGAACATTCTTTCTTATTTAAAAATTGTAAATTGCGTGTCTAAGGGTATGCGCCTGTGCTTTCACGAAGCCAGAGGCACTGGATCCCCTGGAGTGGAGTCACTGGCAGTTGTGAGACACATGACATGACTCAAAGGCTCCCCCCATCTACGGATGACACAAATGTAGGAAACTGACTCATGGGTAGTGGTTGTCTCTTCTGTTAGTGTGAAAGAAGACCGGAAGTGGTCAGAAATGAGAGACAGGGGTACTAAAGGAGTCCTCAGCTGACAGGGAGACCGGGAGGCTTCTCACTAAAGGGACAGGCTATGCTTCCCAGTGCGCAGGAGAGAGGCAGGCAGAGGTCCCAGGACAGCGGCGTCCGCTCTCACCTGCATACAGCAGCAGACAGCTGAGGGAGCAGGTCAGCTCCAGGGCCAGGACGGCCAGCATCAGCTCCAGGTACAGCCTGCCGGGCTCAGGGAAGGAATGCTGTACGCACAGGAGGAGGAGCAGTGCCGTGTTGCCTGAGGAAGGAAGGAGAGAGGCAGAGATGGGACGCTGGTCTCCAAGGCAGCACCAAGTTCCTTTTGGTTTGCTGTCCATAACCTGTTTGCTTGTTTGCTTATGTATCCCACTTCCTTAAGCCCTGGTGATTTCCTAAATGAAAGAATGAACTGTGTTGTTATATATAACAAACCCTTAAGGTCAAGAGAGCATTTATGCTAATAAGGGTGGGCTCTACGTAGCCTAAGCATGGGTCTAGTAACCAGAAGGACCAGCAATTAGAGGGTTGGAACTTCTGCCCCACTGGCCCCAGTTGGGGAAGCTCAAGAGGTTAGAAATTTAAATTCTTAAAAAAAAAAAAAATCTGGAGGGCAATAATTTGGCTTGTAATATGCTTGCCCAGCATGGATGACAACCTGGGGTCAGTCCTCAGAACCACATAAAATCAAGGATCTGGCTTCTAACCCTGGAATTCAAAAGGTAGATGCAGGAGGACGAAGCCTACATAGTGAGTTTGAGACCATCCTGGACTACATGAGACCTCATCTCCAAAACTCAAGGACTTAAAGATTTAGCTCAGTGGGAAGATGTTTGCTGGGGAAGTTTGAAGCCTTGGGTTTGGCTCCTAGCACCAAAAACAAAAACAGAAAAGGAAAAATAAAAAAACAAAACACCCAAAGAATCTCATGTTGTGGAATAATCTTTTTGTACACTGATTGCTTTAATAAAAAGCTGAACTCTAAATAGCTAGGCAGGATCTCCAGACACAGAGGACACTGGGAAGAAGGGAGGGAGGGGTCAGGAAGGATGCAGAGCAAGCAGCGTGGGCATTACACTGAGCCATGAAAAAGAACACAGATTCAAAGATATGGGTTAATTTAAGTTTTAAGAGCTAGTCAGAAACAAGCCTAAGCTATTTGCCAAGCTTTCATAATTAATAATAAGTCTCTGTGTCATGATTTGGGAGCTGGCTGGTGGGACAGAGAAAGACTCACTACAATCTGACCTTGTTTTTAAACTAAGGGATGATTTCTTCGCTTTAGAGAAATACTAAACTGGCTTCTGTGGTTCTTCTGCACATGTGAAAAAAATATTTATTGACACAAGGTCTCAACACTGTGTAGGCTGGCCTTCTCCTGCCTCAGCCTCCTGAAAGTCAGATTTTAAGAAGGTAAAGACAAAATAATTTCTTCATGAATTTCAAAACTATTATTTTCAGATTTTGAAACAAACAGTTATTTCTAGATCATTACTGAGAGTATTCTTTACTCTTGTCCCATATAAGGGAGATAAAGTGGTTAAAAAGTTCCTGATTTATTTTTGTGTTATGGTGACACCTTCTGGTCACATGGTGGTTACACATCCGTTAGAACTTGTATTCATCCCCAGGAGAGTCCGGAAGCAATAACCTCTACCCACTCACCCAGGCTCAGTCAAGGTGACCCACTTTACGGTGTTCTTTCTCTGCTGAAGTGTATTCCTTGAACCTCTACTAAGACCCCTGGTGAGTGAATGGGCTTGTGGGTTACCCTTCACAACAGTTCTCGACCTGTGGGTCAAGACCCCTTCGGCAAACAAACCTGTATCTCCAAAAACATTTGCATTATGATTCAGAACAGTAGCAAAATTAGTTAGGAAGCAAAAATAATTTTATCGTTGGGGGTTTTATCACATGAGGAACTACTAAAGGGTCACTGCATTAGGAAGGTTGAGAACCACTGCTTAGGGTAACACACTGATAGAATACAGAAGAAAACTTCAATTCTGTAGAACTGAAGAGGTCATTCTAAGGACAAAATTTGACAGAGTCAAAAGTCCCTAGGTCAGTTCAACTTAATTCTATTAAACCTCTGAAAGCCCCACAACAATAGAGAGAAGCAGGCCAGACCACCTGTGCTGCTACTGGTCATGCCTTGAGTCAGGACCCATGAGACTTGTGTTATTTGTTTCCTGTATGTGTGGGGTACCAGGGATTCAACCTAGGGCCTTGAGCAAGATAAGCAAGTACTTCATCACAAGTGTATTCTGAATCTGATTTTCACGTTTTGTTTTGTGGTAGGGTCTTACTAATTGTGATGGTTTGAATGACAACAGCCCCCATAGGCTCACAGGGAACGGTACTATTAGGAGGTGTGAGCTTGTTGGAGTAGGTGTGGTCTTGTTGGAGGAATGTGTCACTGGGGATGGGCTTTGAGGTTTCAGATGCTCAAGCCAGACCCAATGTATCTCTTCCTGCTACCTGCCAATCTGGATGCAGAACTCTAGGCTCCTTCTCCAGCACCATGTCTGCCTGTGAGCTGCCATGCTTCCTGCCATGATGACAATGGACTAAACCTCTGAACCTGTAAGCCAGCCCCAATGAAATGTTCTCTTTTATAAGAGTTGCCATGGTCATGGTGTCTCTTTACAGCAACAGAACCCTAAGACACTAATGAAGTAGAATAAGGTAGAAAAGATCGATCATTAGATATTGACTCACTGATTTATTTAGGGATTTATTTAAAGCACTGCTTGTCCTGCCTATATGCCAAGCACAACTTCCCTTGCTACCTGGGACATGACGACCTGGAGAAACAGCTGAAGCCATGGCTTGTTGTCTTTAACAACCTGCTGACTGCCATGTACGCCTCTGGAAAATCGCCTTGTCGTTTTAGAGTGTAAAACAGGAATGCAAACTGGACCCAGGACGCAGGCCTTTCAGGAGCTGTTCCCACTTTGGTCCCCTGGTGACACCTCCTCTCTTCCACTCTCCTCAGGGTAGGAGTGCTTATTCCAGAAGCACTGGAATTGCTGCTCCTCGACACTAAGTTACCCAGGGTAACCTTCACACACCCTGTAGCCCAAGCAAGCCTTAACACTGTGATTCTCCTGCTTGGTCTCCCAGGTGGCAGGCCTAGGCCTGGTGAGGCCGGGCTTAAGACATAGGTGTTTTTGAGTTTTCTGTTTTGAATAATATAGCTTATTTGTCTATCTCCTAGCAAATTATTATCATTATTTCCTATAGCACAAAAAAAATCACTGAACTTCACTTTAAAAATCCTTTTATGGCCGGGCGGTGGTGGCGCACGCCTTTAATCCCAGCACTCGGGAGGCAGAGCCAGGCGGATCTCTGTGAGTTCGAGGCCAGCCTGGTCTCCAAAGCGAGTTCCAGGAAAGGCGCAAAGCTACACAGAGAAACCCTGTCTCGAAAAACCAAAAAAAAAAAAAAAAATCCTTTTATGGGGTGAGGTTTTTATTTGTTTGTTTGTTTAAGATAAGGTCTCTCATGTAGCCCAGGCTGGCCTTGAACTCCGGGGCCTCCTGCCTCCACCTTGTAAATGCAGAGACCTTTTCTAATCCTCAGAAATATCAACAGCAACAGCAGCAGCAGCATCCTTCCTCCTGGAGCAAGTCAGCTGGCTGGTTCCAAAAAGGTGGAAAATTCTCCATTTGGAAAAGGGCTGCACTCATATCACCTCCACAGCAAATAGAAATTTCAAACCAAAATTAAGGCTATCTGCCCAGCATGGTGACACAAAATTTGTAATTCTAGCACTGACTTGGGAGGCAGAGACGGGAGGATTGCCATTAGTTGGAGGCTAGCCTGATGGAAAAGAGAGCTCTGGGAGTGCCAGCCTACAAGACACAGTGAGATCCTGTATCAAAACAGCAGAGACTGGAGGAAAAGCTTCAAGAGGCGGGTGGCACAGAGCGCAGTCGGAGAGTGCTTGCGGAGATGCCCCAAGCTTTGGGTTCAGTCCCTCTTCCCACCAAAAGAAAACTTCAGGATAGCGGCTACAATATGTATCACTCGCAAAAAGAGACTATATTTGATTCTAAAATCAATAAAGTCTAATTCCACATGTCCTTTTATCACCTTTGGCACTCAAGCTGCAGAGCAGCTGAGATTTGCAAGGCTTACCAGAAGAGTGGACCATGAGGGGGAGTGTTTTGAGACGCCTCGTAGACCGGTAGATCTGGGAATAGCCGCGGCCTCTGACTTTGCTGTGGTGGTAGTGGAAGTAGCGGTCAAGAAGCACATGCAGAACCCACAGGCTGACTTTCCCAAGGATGATGACCGTCTGGACTCTCAGTGGGCTGGTGTAGTTTTCCGGACACTTGTCTTCATTCGGATTAGGGTACGAACACAGCACACCTGTTAAAAACGCCAAAGTAACAAACACAACCTGTGGGAAGAAAAGCAGGAGGATTCACAGTCAGCATGTAGGTTGCGGTCAGGACCAGTGAGATGACTCGGTGGGCCAAGGAACTTGTCCCCAAGACTGACAACCTGAGTGTGACTCCCAGGATCTACACGGTGGGAGGAGAGAACTGACTCCTGCAAAGCTGTCCTGACTTCAGCGTGTGCTGTGGCACGCGTACCTGCATGCACACAGGTGTGAACGTACACACCCACACATCAGTGTAATAAAAATTAGCATAAATATACAGGTTTAGGAAACAGGAACTGCCATTTCCTAAAAGGCTGTATGACTTAGGCCATCCTACTCTGACAAATGACTGTACAAGCTTTTTACCAAAAGCATTCTGAAGAACTGTGGGAGCTGCGCACAGAGACATATGTCTGTCATCCGAACACTCAGGAGGCTGGAGAATTTAAGGTCAGCCTGGGCTATACAGGGAGATCCCACGTCCAATTTGAAAGAGAAAAATGCAAGAAATCTAGAACACAGACAAAATCACAAATAGGAAAATAAAATCGCCCTAAATCCCATTTAAGGAGATGATCACGGAATGTTGAACTTTTATGCCTTTCTCTTTTATTGAAAAAAAAGAGAGGTATAAAAGGAGTTGGTTATCTCAGAGGCAATTAATAAGGACTGGGGAGATGGCTCAGCAGCTAAGAGTGGGAACAGCTGTCTGTGGCAGAGGACCTCAAGGGTTCGGTCCCCAGCACCCATGTCAAGCCCCGGAGGATCGGATACTCTCTCTTCTAGCCTCCAAGGACATCTGCACTCCCCCTCCCCACATAATTAAAATTAAAACAATTTTAAGAACTAATAAAATTATATGCAGAAGCAGGTAGATCTCTCAATTCTACAAATTGAGACCTTGACTTTAAAAAAGGGGGAAAAAAAGCATTCCATGTGCATGTCCAAATACTTGAAGGCATTATCACCCACTGGCCCATAAGCTGGCCTCTACTGATTTGGACAGAAGTCCATAACACAGCCAGACGAGAAAGCTGTGCAACAATGAGTCCCGGCTGTGACATGGGAGATCGGTCAGCAGAACTCAGAGCTTGCTAGAATGTATCATCCTGTCCTCCAGAGCCAGTCTCTTGGGACACAGTCCACCTTCTAATGAAGTCTGATGAATGGGGAACTTAGAAAAGGAATGACAGTATTAAAATTAAATAAGTAATCAATTTAAATTAACATGGATCTGCATATATGCTAATGAATGAATTCACATATGAATTTATCAAAAGGCTAAGGTCTTAGTATGCAGCCCAGACTGACTTCTTCTTTGATCTCTGCCTGCTAATTGTCAACATTACAGGCATGTTTTTTTTTGTTTTGTTTTTTTTTTTTTTTTTTTTTAAGACAGGGTCTCACTATACAGCCCTGACTGGCATGAACTTGATTTGTAGCTCAGGCTGGCCTTAAACTCACAGAGACTGCCTGCCTCTGCTTCCAAGTGCTGGAATTATAGGCGTATGTCACTAAGCATGGCTTTAACTTATGAATTTATTGTGCATGTGTGTGTGCACTTTGCTAGGACATGAATATGGACATCAGAGGACAATTTTTCCAGAGTGGATTCTCTCCTTCTACCCTGTTTGGAGGCAGTGTTTCTATTCATAGACCAGCTAGCCTGGAATGCAGAATACCAGGTACTTTGTGATTTCTAAGTATGACAATCACACTGCCACTTGTGTCCTTACACACATGCAAACATCTCTACAATACTCTCTTTGAAGTATAGGCACAAAAATTTGTACAAAAATACACATACCCAGGTAGATCTCTGTGAGTCTGAGGCCAGCCTGATCTACAGAGTGAGATCCAGGACAGGCACCAAAGCTGCACAGAGAAACCTTATCTCAAAAAATCAAAACAACACATATATAAAATATATATAAAATACAGTTTAAAAGTGGATAGATATATCCCAAGTACCCCCCCCCCCCCCAAAGAGCTTACACCCGTTGTGTGTGCACACGTGTGTATGCACCTGGGGGGGTCAGAGGACAATGCAGGTGTTGTTCTTTGGGAGACATCTGCCTTGTTGTTTGGTTTTGGAGATGGAGTTTCTCAGGAGGATCTGGGGCTCACCTCCTATTAGATGAGGCTTGCCAGAGTCCCAGGGTTCCTCCTGTGTCCACCTCCCCATTGTTGGGAGCGTAGTCCTCCCATTGGAGGGGGGACCCAGCTCCTCAAGCATATCTTATGACTGGGCCATCTCACCACCTCCACGCTGGTGTGCTTTTAGAAAGAGCAGCGCTGCACTGAACTCACATGTATAAACAACAGAAGATTTGCTATGATGACCGTAGGAAGAGGGTGGAATCTGGGTCTAAAGTGAGCATGTAAGGAGTGGTGTGGGAGAGGCTGGGTGTCCAGAAGCGGGTCATCATCCATACTTTGAAGGATCTCCAAGGAACCCTGTGAGGCAAAAACACACAAGTTACAGCAAGACTTTCTGGGTCATGTTTCTCTTTCTGTTCTTTCTTTAGGTTTTTCAAGACAAGGTTTCTCTGTGTAGCCCCAGCTATCCGGGAACTTGCTCTGTAGACCAGGCTGGCCTTGAACTCACCGGGATCCACCTGCCTCTGCCTCTTGAGTGCTGGGATTCCAGGTATGAGCCGTCACACCTGGAACTTTTAAAACTACTTTGTATGATTTTTGTATTGTTTGTGACACACAACTATGACCTCAGTACTTGGGAGGCTAAGACAGAGTAACCCAGAACTTGAGTCTAGTACCAGCCTAGGATACTGAGCAGTCGCTTCTTCTACAAAGACAAAATGAGCTGGGGAGATAGCTCAGGAGTCGAGTGCTCATCCAGCATATGTGACACCCTGGCTTTGGTTCCCTGCACTGCAAAAACAAAACAAAACAAACAAAAACCCCAAGGGCCTGGGGTGTAGCTTAGTGGTAGAGAGTTTCCTCCACATGAATGAGGTCCTGGCTCCAATGCTTAACACCACACACACACACACACACACACACACACACACACAAAAAAAAAAAAAAAAAAAAAAAAGCAAAACTTTTATTAAAACAATCTTTCAGAGAGGTTCATCTGCCTCCCTAGCATAGGGATTGAAGTTGTGAGACTTGAGACATGGTCTTACACTCACTGCACCCCATGCTGACTGTGAACTCACTGTGTAGGCCAGACTGGCTTCCAACTCATGTTTGGGAAGCCATGAAAGAACCTTTTTTTAAAGACAGGGTTTCACTATTTAGCTCTGGCTAGAATGGACTTGCTCTGTAGCTCACAGAGATCTGCTTCTAACTCCCAAGTGCTGGGATTAAAAAGTGTGTTTCCACACTTAGTCCCATAGAAGTAGTTTTATTTCCTTTCCTTTCCTTTTTCTTTTTTTTTGGGGGGGGGGTTTGTTGTTGTTGTTTTGTTTTGTTTTGTTTTGTTTTGAGACAGGGTCTCTTTCTACATAGCCCTCGATGTCCTAGAACTCACTATATAGACCAGGCTAGCCTGAAACACAGATATCCATGTGTCTCTGCCTCCAGAGTACCAGAATTTAAAATGTACACCACCATGTCCAACTATTTCATTAATTTCTATAACTCCAGAACAAAGTAATACATGGTATAATTTAAGCAACCCATTTTTTTAAACTGCAATAAGGTCTCCCTAATTTGTTCAGGCTGGTCTCAAACTCCCGTGCTAAAGCAATCCTCTAGTCTCCACACTTCATGTACTGAGATTATAGGTAGATGCCACCGTGTCCGGCTTCAACCTATTTCATTAAGCCTTCAAAATGTAAGCCTCATCCGAGCCAAAGAGCTCGGCTCGGGGAGAGAGGGAAAGTCATTTTTGTTCAGGAGGATAGCTACTGGTAGACTGACCATGCTCAAGCAGATGTGCTCACACCCATGCACGGACAGACAGCACTAATTAAGGCTCAGTGGGTTATATAAAAAGAAGAGGAGGAGGAAGACGAGGGGGAGGACATGAAGGTGGTTAGGGGACCACTGACGGGAAAGAGTGAACTCAGAGGGAAGGTGAGGGGCGGATGTGATCAATTCATACATTGCATACACGTACAGTCTAGGCTGGCCTCAAATTCTCTATGTGGTCGAAGCTAGCCTTGAACTCCTGATCCTCCTGCCTGTACCCACTGGAACTGTAGGCATGCACCACCACACTAGGCCACAGATGCAATTATTAAACTGCCTGGTGTTCTACAATACTTTGAAAATCGGCCTTACTAAGAATGCCTTAAAGAGAGCCTGGGCGGCGGTGTGGCTCAGTGGTCAGTGCTCACCTAGCATGTCTGAGAAACTGGGGTCTGTCCCCAGCACCCACCATCTCATTTCTTCCAAAAGTGACTAAAACAAGCTTTTGGTTTTAACAGAAATATTCTAAGTGCCAGTAGGAACATCACTCCGTGGAACCATTAGGGAGACATGAGTTTGTAGGAATTAGTCTCCACAAAAATGTCTAGCTGTCAGTTGAGTCCTGGGTGCTAACCTAAAAATTCCAGCCATGTTTAAAGGTGCTGTGTCTGCAGTCACATTACCTCCCATTCTCTGCTGCATACAAATGAGGCGCGTCCTTAGTGGACACTGGTATGTATGGGGACAGTGCCACCTGCCCAGAATCTCAGCACTTGGGAAGCAGAGGCCATAAGATCGATGGTCATTGAAGGTTAGCCTGGACTACATAGTGAGTTCTAGGCTGGCAAGTTAGTGAGATCCTATCTCAAAAAGAATAAAGAAGACTGGAGCGAGCCTTGGCTCAGCAGTTAAGAGCACTTGTTGCTTTTCTAGAGGATCTGAGTTTGGTTCCCAGCACTGACATGGTGGCTCACAACCATCTGTAAACCTAGATCCAGACTTCCAGGGGTCCTGGTCTTTCTCCTGACTTTCTCTGGCATGTACATGGCACACATAGAAGCATGCATTCTAACACTCATATAGATACAATAAACTCACACACACACACACACACACACACACACACACACACACACACTCATTTTTAAAGAGTGAAGGGATATGAGGGGTGATAATAGTCAAAACTCAATACTAGATTTACATGTAGGAATCTAAAGTGTGACTCAGGTCTGGGGTACTGCTCAGTTTTCAGACTCGGGCACCTAATGCTGCTGTGGTGCCCTGTGTATTCAATCGCTTGGAAGTGTCCACTTTATTTGCTGCAATCTATGGTACAATTCTGATGATTTTTGTTTGTGTTTTGAGAGCGGCTCTCTCTAGGTAGGTCTGGCTGACCAGGAAATTCCTAACTTAAACTCAACTTGTGGTGAATCTCTCGCCTTTGCCTCTGAGTATTGTGATAGCAAGCATGCAACACAGGCTAGCTTACAATTCTGGTTGTTTCTGTTCCCAACCTGTCTTCCTTGAGCATTTTCTCTATCTGAAGAACATGGGACCTTGCCAATTTGCCCCTCAGCTAATGTCTAAGCATGCTTATATGTTCAGATAGGGCAATTCCCATCAGGGAGCCTTCCTGGACACCTGAGATCTGGAGCATGCCACATCTCTATCTCTGTTTCCAAAGTATTATGTGTAACTCCCCTGTCATACTGTCCACTAATGACTTTCCCCCTTCTTTATTTTTTCCAAGGCCTGCCTATTTATCCACCTTTCCTGGTAGACTACATTGGATTTACCAATTCCCCACCTCTTACTTGTCTGTCTTACGGACACACTCAGCAAACACTGGTGCAGGAATCAATGTACACACCACATCTGTCTTTGCGGGTTTCCACAACTCACTCACGGCCATCAGTCGTGAGAAGTCCCGCTCATCGGGAGAAGCAGTAAGGACACAGGGAGGCGGGACCAACTCTGACCAGAGGTAGTAAGAGCTGTGGCTCTGGGAGGGTCCCCAAGTTAGACGGCGATAAAATTCAAGTCCTGTTGCTTACTGGCTATGGTAAGTTACTTCACATCTCTATTTCTCAGTTTCTGCATCTTTGGTTTTTTTTTAAGATTTATTTTTTATTTTCTATGTATATGTATGCATACCACATGCATGTGAGTGCCTAATGAGGCCAGAAGAGGGCGTCAGAACTCTTGGAGCTGGAGTTAGAGAAAGTTGTGAGGCAGGGGATGTGGGTGTCGGGAATTGAACCCGGGTCCTTTGCAAAACTATATGTACTTTTAACCAACCAGCAACCGCTCCGGCCTTAGTTTCCTCCTCTTAAAAATAGACACTCATAAGAGTACCTGTGACCAGTCTTGGGTAGGAAGATTCAATGAGTTACCTCACAAACAGTGCTTACTACAGCACTCGGCGGGCTGAACAATCAATGTGAGCCTTGCTTTCCAGCCTTCCCCATCCCCATCCCTCTTCCTGACGCCCTGAGCTCTCAGGAAACCGCTTTGATGGCTACACTACTCCTCCCTGTTCTTCCCCAGCTCCCTGCCTCTCACAACACACCCTCACCTTTTCCTGGTCATTCCCAGCTCGTCACCTGACAAGCGGGTCAACTTCAAGCTCTTGAACATTAGGACAGTTCTATTTTCTCTTTGCTCTTTCTACCTATTTCTGTGTTGTTTCTGAATCAGTTTCAATCTACTCATCATTAGTCCCATTTTATCTGTCTTCTTACAAGTCTGGTTTTTTCATTTTTATTTTTTCCAAACCTAGGACCTCACACATATGAAGCAAGTGCTCTAACACTGAGCTGCATCCTCAGAACTCTAAATTATTCCTGCGTTTCTTCTATGAACTCCCTATAGCTCCCTAAGACCAAGGGTGACCTTGAACTTACGATGCTCTAGCCCTTACCTCCTCAGTGCTGGGCTTACAGATGTGTGCTGCCATGCCTGGTTTATGTGGCGCTGAGTCCTGGGCTATGTGCAAGCTAGGGAAGTAAGAACTCTACCAAGTAGGCCCAACCCATTCCACTACTTACAACTGAGTGAATTACTACTACCGAAGAACTGACCTATTGTTTTGGCCCAAACACTGGCTCTTCACTTTTTTCCCCCCAGTAACTGCTTCCTTTGGGGACCCGATGACAATGTTGCATTAAGCCTTACTGGGACCCAGGTACGGTGGCGCATGCTTGTTTATAACCCCAGCATATGTGAGGCTTCAGCACAAGGATTACAGTGAGCCTGAGTTATGTAGTGTGAGCCTGTAAAAAAACAAAACAAAAACCCTGAGGGAATATCTCTAACTCTTTTCCCTCTCCCTCTCCTGGTCTGGGGGTAGTCAAAGAACCAAAGACGGTTTGTCCAACCTACTCTCCACGAGGAGTGCGAAGCAAAGACAGACACTAGGCAAGTTGACAGCTGCCCACCGACCCCAGGGTAGACTCCGAAACGACTCCTGTCACTGCAGACACTCTGAGCTGCCCTCCTTTGGGTCCTCACAGAGCCCTGGGTGTTAATTCACCAGAATCTGCACCAAGTCCTGGTCGTTATAAATGAGCCATTAGTTCGCCGACTCACTTGAGTGTCTGGGCTTGCAACACAGTCCATGCATTTAGCTCATTAAATGTGCGTTTTGTTATCTACAAAATACCAAAAGCAGGCAACCTACTCAGGTCCATAGTCATTCAGCTATCTAACTGTTGGCAAAATAATCATCACCAATTGTCTGTTGAAGGAAACATCAGGACTGTACCCCTGAAACTGACGTATCCAAGAACTCCAGGGCAGCTCAGCACCAAGAAACACTTGCTGCTTGTTTTTTTCTAAACCATTCACTTTTCCTTTTAGGTATTTATTTTCTCTGTAATTGCCAGCCCATGAAATCTCATTCTTAAAATTTCAAAAACAACAGGCTTTGCTTTAATACATGAGTCTTAAGTTTCCATGTATTAGTTTTCCATTTTCCCAATTGAAAAATAAAACTAGTTTTTTTTTCTAGTGTTACTGTTAGAAACATATTTATTTCATCAAGAAAATTTAACTAGCTAGGAGTGGTGGGGCACTCGAGCTATCCCAGCACTAAAGAGGGTGAGTTGGAGAACAGTTTGGCAAATTTGAGGCCAGGTTAGGCTACATAATGAGTACCAGGCCAGCTAGGGCTACACAGTAAGTCTAAAATAAATAAAATAAATGACTGCAGGAACCACAGACACAAGAATCTAAGCTCTGATACGTCTGGAACCTTGCTTTTCTGGATGGACCTTAGAACTAAGACCACGGTGATGTTCTTTATATTGTTTTAGTTATTAGCTCGGGTCAGTGTGCTCACGAAATGTCAGCCTTGTATTTCTCAAGGGCAGGAATTTTCAAACGCATGTTTCCTCCCGAAGTTCCCCCCCACCATCCAATTTCAAATCAACATTTAATCATAGTGTCTTAATAAACTTTCAAACACAAGATTTAGGCAATTGTATTATCGTTCTATACTGGCTACACCGTGAACTGGGCCACCGCGTACTTTAGAAAAACAAAACAAAACAAAAAAAAATTAAGTTTGCATCTATCTAAGATTAAAACATCTTTCTGTTCCTACCATGCCTACATTCAAAACAGCACATGATACTTTTTTTTCCCCCTCCAATCTCGGTTTCCGGGAGATGAGAGCTACAGGTCGTTCCCGAGGGATGCTGGAGTTCAGCCCCGCACCACAGCCACTCCAGGTCCCGGGTCCTCTCTCCAGCCACCGCAGGAAGACCCACAGGACCCACAGATAGGAGTCGGGCTCGCCGGGGGTTTGCAAGCCGCCACCGGCCTGCCAGCCTCCCTCAGGAAGGACTGTCAGGCCAGCGCGCATCACGTGCAGCTCCCAGTTCCGGAACCAAAGACGCGCGGTGCACGTGAGCCGCGGACCGAAGGGACCCTGGCGGCCCACCGGGCCGCGTCCCTCCGACTTTGATCCGGAAAGGCTCCCCGGGCCCGCGGTCCCCCCACCCCGCACCCCCGCACCCAGCGTCCCCTCCGGTCCAGGCCGCTGCGGCTCTGGGTCGCTCGCAGCCCGCAAGTCTCCGCCCCGCTGAGCCCAGCACAGGAAGCGGGGATGGCGGGGACAGGGCTTGGCGTCTCACTCACGTCCTCCAGCCTGCAGCCCGCCGCCATGACCCGCCGTCGCGGGGCCAATGCCCCGCCAGCCTGACCTCTCCACCGGCGCCCGGGCACCCAGGGCCCGGGACAGTCGCACCTTCGGGGACCTGCGCGCCCCCGCCCCGGACACACCCACTTCTGCGCTCGCCCCGCCCCGACTGCCCGAGGCCACGCCCCTCTATCTAAATCAGCCGATCCCCAGTCAGGGGGCGTGGCCTTCCCCCCGCCAGTCTCCAGCTCGGGCGTCGTTCTGGCCCAGGCGTTTCTTGTGGGGCGATGGTTGGTGGTGGATCTCCCCTAAACCGTTGCTTGATCTGTGGATCAGAGATTCAGCAATTGAAGGACGAATTTCTAGTGCAGCCGTTTGAACATGATCGGCAAATGCTTCCCTTTAAAACGTTACTTCTGTGGCGCAGTGTTTGCTTGCAGCAAGGACTTGGAAAAAGACGCAGTAAAATCGTAACTCCACCAGTAGAGGGACCGCACTGGAATAAAGATTCCGGTTTCTGTAACACGATTCACAGGTGTCTCCACAGAGAAGCAAAGCATTTATATGTTTTAGGGGCTTAGGCGTTTTGTTTCTGTCGTCGTCGTTCTCCACCCCCCCCCCCCCCCCCCCCCCACACACACACACACTTTCTTGAGACAGGGTCCTGACTGTCCTGGAACTCACCATGCAGACCAGGCTGGCCTTGAACTCTCAGAGATTCTCCTGTCTCCCGACTGCTCTGATTAAAGGCGTGCGCCACCACCCTTGGCCCAAGATTGAGTCAGTTCTTTTCTTCCACCATATAAGTCCCAGGCTTGGTAGCAAGGGCCATTTGCCAGCCCTCAATTTTTTATTAAAACAAGGTCTCATGTTAGTCATGCTGACCTAGGACTTGATGTGCACAGAAACTGACCTTGAATCCCTGGTCCTCCGGCCTTCGCCCACTGACACCTGGCATTACAAGTGTGTGTCGTCACACCTGATGAGTTGTTTTGTTTTATATACGAAGTATTTATTTTTAATTGTTTTTATTTTATGTGTATGAGTATTTTACTTTAGAATACATGTGTATCTGTGCACCATGTGCGTGCCTGTTGCCCAGGGAGGCCAGAAGAGGTCACTGGATCCTCTGGCACCTAAGTTAGAGACAGTTGTGAGCTGCCATGTGGGTGCTGGGAATGAAACCCAGGTCCTCTGGGTTAGTGCATTTTAAGCGCTGAGCCACCTCTGCAGCCTGAGTTTTAATTATATTTATGGGATCAAACTGGGTGTGGTGGTACACATCTCTAGTCCTAGGACTTGGTAGAGGCCGGAGGATCATGAGTTCCAGGCCAGGCTTTTAATGAGTTAGAGGCGAGCCTGGGTTCTGTGAGACTATCTCATGAAGAAATAAAGAGGAAGAGTCCTCAAGGACTGTGGCTGAAGAAGAATTGGAGCGCAAAGGTGTCATTGACGCCGACTGGACTTGTCCATCGGAGAGAATGCCTCCACATGTCCTGGAAAAACTAGCTGAAGCATGTTGCTTCCTTCTCTCCCTCTGAGGCCTCTCTGCAGGCACTGGAAAGAAATAACCCCCAAGACCTCAAAGCATTCTTCCTTATGTACTGCATAGTTTTAATTGGCTTTTATTCTTTAAAAAAAAAAAAAGCTTTTACTGGCGTCTGTTAATTGTATGTAATAATAGGTTTCATTATGACATTTTCATACATGCGTATAATATATTCTGATCATAGTATCACCCATGCCTTCTCTTGTCCTCTCCCACTGAAGGAGGGGTCTTTCCCCAAGTAGTCCCATTTCTGCTTTCATGTCTGTGATGTGGTGCGTCTGTGTGTGCGTGTGTGTGTGTGTGTGTGTGTGTGTGTGTGTGTGTGTGTGTGTGTGGTGAGTGTGTGTGGTGTGTGTGTGTGGTGAGTGTGGTGTGTGTGTGTGATGTGTGTGTGTGTTGTGTGTGTGTTGTGTGTGTGGTGAGTGTGGTGAGTGTGTGTGTGTGTGAGTGTGGTGTGTGTGTGAGTGTGGTGTGTGTGTGAGTGTGGTGTGTGGTGTGGGTGGTGAGTGTGTGGTGTGTGTATGTGGTGTGTGTGGTGTGTGTGTGTGGTGTGTGTGGTGTGTGTGTGTGAGTGTGTGTGTGTGAGTGTGGTGTGTGTGGGGGGTGTGGTGTGTGTGTGAGTGTGGTGTGTGGTGTGGGTGGTGAGTGTGTGTGTGAGTGTGTGTGGTGTGTGTGTGTGTGGTGAGTGTGTGTGGTGAGTGTGTGTGGTGAGTGTGTGTGGTGTGTGTGTGTGGTGTGTGTGTGTGTGTGGTGTGTGTGTGTGGTGTGTGTGTGTGTGGTGAGTGTGTGTGTGTGTGTGTGTGTGTGGTGAATGTGTGTGTGTGTGTGTGTGTGTGTGTGTGTGTGTGTGTGTGCCATGAGTTTAGGATTACATACTTACTGGAGCATGTGTCACTTACCAATTCCTCCACTCCCAAAGAATCAATCTCTCTCTCTCTCCTTTATTTTTTATTCTTTTGCTTTGTCTTGTTTTTAAGATGTTGTTTCTCTGTGTAGCCCTGGCTGTCCTGGAACTCTGTAGCCCAGACTGGCCTTGAACTCACAGAGATCTGCCTGCCTCTGCCTCCCTAGTGCAGGGACTAAAGGTGTGCACCACCCCCACCCATCTTTGACTTTTATTCTTTATAAGGAAGAATATTTTATATTTGATAAGGATAAGGAAAGTTAGACTATTAGTTGCTCAGCAGATAAAGGGGCATGCTTTGCTAGCCTAACCTGAGGCCTTGAGTTCAATCCCCAAAACCCCTGTAAAGGGAACAGGAGAGAACCTGCTACTCCACAATGTTGTCCTCTGACCTTCTAGAAGCATGCCATGGGTATGGTATCCCCACCCCACAGAATAATAACAAGTAAGACAAACTTTTAAATACATTTTAAAAATAAGAAAACTTAAATCCAGAGTTCTAGTTTAGCTGTTGTGTAGCAGGAATCTTAAAAGTTCTTATTAATAAAATCAAACCTGAGGCCAGTTATTGGGGTGAATGCTGAAAGATCAGAGAAGCAGAACAAGCCACAGCTTCCTCACTTCGGCAGTTCCTCAGCTGATCCTGTTTCCTCAGATTGGAAGCTTCTGAGTTCTCACCCAGAATGAATCTCAGCTGAACTGCTGCTCAAAACCCAAAAGCTTAACCAACCAAATGCTTCTAGTTTCTGGTCTTCACGCCTTATATACCTTTCTGCTTTCTGCCATCACTCCCTGGGATTAAAGGCTCACTTTCTGGGATTAAAAGCATGTGTCACCATGCTTGGCTGTATCCTTGTGGCCTTGAACTCACAGAGATCCAGACAAATTTCTGCCTCTGGAATGCTAGGATTAAAGGCGTGTGCTACCACTGCCTAACCTCTATGTTTAATATCGTGGCTGTTCTGTTTCTGACCCCAGATAAGTTTATTAGAGTGCACAATATTTTGGGGAACACAATACCACCACACTGTTGGACTTTTTTTCTTTTGTTTTTAGAGGCTGAGTCTTGTGTAGCCAAGGCTGCCCTCCAATTCATTCTGTAACCAGAGATGACCTTGACCTCCTGATCCTCCTACTTCCATCTCCCCAGTGCTAAGATTACAGACCTGGGCCACTACCTCCTTCCTCCCTCCATCCCTCCCTTCCTTCCTCTTTCTTTCCCTTTCTCTCTCTCTCTCATTGCCATCTTTCCTTTTTTTTCTCTTTCTTTCTTCCTTTTTCTTTTTCTTTCTTTCTTTCCTTTTTTTGGTTTTTCAAGACAGGGTTTCTCTGTGTAGCAGCCTTGGCTGTCTGGGAACTCGCTCTGTAGACCAGACTGGCCTCAAACTCAAAGATCCACCTGCTTCTACCCCCTGAGTGCTGGGATTAAAGACGTATGCCGCCACAGCATGGCATCTTTCTCTTTATTTTGTTCTCTCTTTCAATTTTTCTTTTCTTTTTCAAATGGAGTCTCATGAAGTTCAAGTTGGCCTTGAATTTGCTATGCAGTTGAGAGGATGACCTTGGACTCCAGATGTTTCTGTTTCTATCACACAGGCACTGGGATTATGGGCATGAGCCGCTGTACCAGCTTTCATTGTATAGCTCATTATCATCTGTATGTGTTATTAGTGTGTGTGTGTGCACTCATGAACGTGTGAACGCATGGGTATACACATGACACACAGTGTGTGGAGGTCAGAGAAGAACTCACAACAGTTTTTCTTCTTCCGCCGTGGGTTCCCGCGACCAAATTCAGGCCATCAGCTTGTATGGCGAGTACTTTTCCTGGCCTAGCCATCTCCTCAGCCATGTCTTGCAGTTCTAAAGAAGCCTTTTATTCTGAGCACATGTTTTCTGGTCAATCTGCCCTCCTTCCAGGGCAAATCAATGTTGAGTGAAGAGCCTTGGAATCACCAAACTCAGCTAGAATTTGCGATCCAGCACTTTTCCTTATCTTTAAAACGGACAAAGTGGTATTTCTAAAAGGAGGGTGAGGGCTGACAGGTAGATTAGTGGTAGATGCTTGCCTCACGGGCTTGAGGTAGAGTGACTTCAATCTCCAACGCTGAAAAAGAAATCTCTTCCTTTGCGTAAGACTGCTACACTTGAGGAACTCATGAAATGCTGGCTTCCTTCCTGCCCCCTCCACCCAGTCTCTCGACTTCTCCATATTATGTATTGCTAGGGAGGAGGGGCCAGGTGCACGCAATGCTCTTTCTGGGCATCCAGCACTGCACTGAGTGCAATTAAGTACTTAATAAATGCCTTTTGATTAAGTTCAGCATCATCCTAAGCAGGCGAAAACCACTCTGCTCAATCTCCCTGATTAGATGATTCTCCCTGGCAGAAGTTCTGATGGTGCCGGTGCTAAATTCAGTGCATTGCTTTAGCAAATGGCATAATGAAGTTTTGGCTCATCACTCCTTGAGATGGGGTGATCACCCTCACACCTGTCTCACAGTCCCACCTCTACGTAGGCTTTTGGACAGTCACATGCCTGCAATCTGAGATCCAGCCTTTGGTCGATGTATCGATTATTTTCTTGTTTTGGGGACAGACTATCAGGCAAAAGTAACTTAAAGAAGAAGGGTTTAGGTTCATAGTTCATGTGCACAGTCCACTGTGGAGGGTACTCAGACAGCAGGG